TAATTGAATCATGAATCAGATAAGGTTGCAAGTGAAGATGGGAGAAAGACAGAGGGGTTGCAGCCATAATTTATTCGCCAAGAGAGAAAAGTAGGGAGTTAAAACCCTGGTATGACTTCTTACTTCTCGCTCTTCTACGCTGTGCTTTCAAGAAGGACCAGATTTACTTATTCAGATATGCACACGGTTTCTGTGGGTCCACGGACTCACATGTAGAAATGCAGACCGCTTAATCATTTATTTTTTAAACCAAATTTGAACTTAATTTTTAGCAAATATATAATCTTTAACATGGAGATTATTAATCTGTAAACATAAATAAATTATAAAAACTCAAAATGATATATTTTGGAGAAAATGTTTGAATCATTGATATTATTTTTCATTGGAGGACTATTATTTACAAGACCCGGATTTGATGGACAGTGTAGATCTCTGGCCTGCATAGTAACAGGTGTGGGCAGATGCACCAAACAATTTTCCTTTAGATATTCAACTATTTGTATACTTTTTCAAGGAAAAGTATAAAATAAGATTATTTACCTTAGGTACAAAATGGTTGTAATTAATTTTGATCATTACATGTGAAATTAGAATGGTTGTATTTATTTTATTGACCAAGCTTAAATTTAAAAAAAAAATTCTCGAACTTTGTAACATACCTAGGCTATGAAATTTTACATAAAATCATTTTATTCACCAGAGCAGGCCAATTTTTTTTTTTTTTACTTACGCTGCGCAGTGGTGATTTTCAATCAATCTTAGGCCTGCTCAAGTACATGGAAATATATTGGATGTTGCCAAAATCCACCTTTTGGATTGCTTAATGACTAAGATAGTCGAAATCAAGAAAATCATGAAAATATGGCCTACTTTTCCAAGATTTCATTTCCACACCAAAACCTGTTTTTTTTTAATTTCCAAGGTCCATGAATTTTACTCATTGGCTCCCTCAACCCGAAGATTGGGGACCATTTGATAGGTATGAAAATTTTAAAGAGAGAAATAACCTAAATTTTTTGAAGAGAGAAACTATCTCAAATATTAACTTTTAGGGAGAGAAGTATGTTAAAATTTGAGAGAGAGAGTGTACTAAAATTTCAGATGGAGAAAGTACCAAAATGTTTTAGAGAAATAAACTATCTCAAAATTTTAGAGAGGGAAACTATCTCAAATTTTAATTTTTAGATAGAAACTACCATATTTTAGAGAGAAATTATCTCAAATTTTAGAGAGAAACTATTTCAAAAATTTTAGAAAGAGAAACAATATCAAATTTTAATTTGTAGAGAGAGAAACTATATCAAATTTTAGAGAGAGTACCTAAAAAGTTTTAGAGATAAAAACTATCTCAAAAATTTTAAAGAGAAACTATATCAAAAACTTTAGAGAGAGAAATTATATCAAATCTTAAGTTTTAGAGAGACATGGTATTCTTAAAATTATAGAGAGAGAAAGTATTTTTAAACTTTTAGAGAGAAATTATTATAAATTTTAGAAAGAGAGACTGCCAAAAAAATTCGAGAGAAATATCTCAAGTTTTTTAGAGGGAGAAATTATCTCGAATTTTCAGTTTTAGAGAGAAACTATATCGAATTTTGAGTTTTAGATAATGAAAATATACTAAAATTTTAAAGATAAAAATTATATCAAATTTTAGATAAATAAACTACTTAAAAATTTTAGCGATAGAAACCTTCTCAAAAATTTTAGAGAGAGAATAAAAACCTTCTCAAAATTTTTAGAGAGAGGAACTATAGCAAAATTTATGTTTTAGAAAGAGAAAGTATCTTAAAATTTTAGAGATATAAACTAGATCAAATTTTAGATAGATACAATACATGAAATTTTTAACAAGAGAAACTATGTCAAAATATTTTGGAGAGAAACTCTCAAAATTTAAGTTTTGGAAAGAAAAAATATCTTCAATTTTAAACTGTAGAGAGAGAGAAAGTATATTAAATTTTAGAGAGATACTATATCAAAATTTAAAGAAAGAAACAATCTCAAAATTTTAGATAGAGAAACTATCTCAGAATTGAAGTTTTAGATAGAGAAAGTATCTTAAAATATAAGAGTAACTATATCAAATTTTAGAGAGAGAAAGTACATAAAATTTTAGAAAGAAAAACTATAGCAAAATTTATAAAGTGAAATTATATCAAATTTTAACTTTTAGATAGAGAAAGTATCTTAAAATTTGAGAGAAAAACTATGTCATATTTTAGAAAGAGAAACTACTTAAAAATGTTTAGAGAAAGAAACCATCTCAAAATTATTGAAGAGGGGAGCAATCTCAAGTTTTAAGTTTTAGAGAGAGTGTGAGTCTTAAAATTGAATAAAGTGAAAACTACATTAAATTTTAGAGAAAGAAGTACCAAAAACTTTTAGAGAGAAAAATTATCTTAATATTTTTAGAGAAACAATTTTAAATTTTAAGTTTTGGATAGAAAGTATATTAAATTTTAGAGAGAAAAATTATCTCAAAAAATTTATAGACACACTATCCCAAATTTTGAGTTTTAGAGAGATAAAGTATATTAAAATTTTAGAAAGAGGAAATAGATACAATGGACATGGAAATGATTGTAAGGAATCCATGAATTTAGTATGGTTTATCTAAACAAGAGATTTGAGGAATCCATGACAAAAATCTTTGATATTGAAAATCCATAGATTTATTTGGATTTCAAATATCTAAGATTCCTAATTTTCTTCTATCCAAACGGGCTCAATAAGACTCATAAAATTCTCATTCATAAGGTGGGAGTCATCTCTGCAACCTTTTGTTCCTTGTGTGCTGGTCATCTTATACAAGAAAAATCCCAACCTTGGAGTCTCTCTATGAACGTGAAAAGTGTTGAGCTCTTATACCACTTGTTGTGTGCGCAGAAGCTTTAAACCCAATGGGTTAATATTTGACAAATAAAATATGAAGAAATAAAGCATGAAATATAATACAATGGTTTACACGGTTCGTCACAGATGTGACTATATCCCCAGGCACGGCAAATTGAAATTCACTAAACCAATGAAAGTTATATCAAAAATTTTCGAGCAAACCTCGACAAAAGCCCAAATCGAGAAACCCTTGTAAACCTGCTCTCCCAAACAGCACCGTGACAATCTCTCATCGCTATTCCATAAGTAGACCACTGTCTAGAAAGATAACAACTTTGAGAGCAAATAAAACTTTATTTCACTAAAAGAGTAAACAACCCAAAATCTCAAAAGAGAACCGCTTCTCTACAAGACTTTTCATAAGAAGCTATTTTCTCTCAAAGGGAAAATTGCATTATGCACAGGAAACTTTATCTCCCTCTCTCTAAAGGAACCACCACTCTCATATGGTGACCCTATCTCCCTCTCTCTCTCTAGAGGAACCATCATTCTCATATAGTGACCCAAATAGGACACACCAAAATTTTCTGAACTTTCATCCCATATATATATAAGATTAGGAGTCCATACTAAATAAAAAACTTTCATTGATATTATATAGATCTCAAAAGACCAAAAGATTACTAAATAGAAATTTTTTTATTGATATTATATATATTTCAAAAGACCAAGAGATATATCCATCTAAGAGTCCTAATCTTTTTAGATTTCTATTTCCCTTAAGAAACTTGTCAAATATTAATCTCAATCCACATAACAAATAAATATCTTAATACCGTATAATATGGGAATATCTTAATCCCTCATAAAATGAGAATTCTTTAAGTGGGTGATTTTGGATAGCACCAAATCCAACAAAAAGCAAGGATGGAAGGGAAGGCACCAACAAACAGAAGGCTGATTTCATTGTTTTTGGACTAGGCCAAGGAGATTCAGACTCGGCTGAGTTAATCAACCTTGGCCTATGGGCGAGGCCAAGTACTATGTACCGATTTGTTGCATCCATTATGTATCCCCAGCCATAATCACATGCGTCTTATTGCCTTTTTGGTGATTATGCATGCCTCAACAAGATACTGAACTCAACTTGAGTTCAATCTCTTGAACTTTGTACCTATCGAAAATCATATATCCAATAGTAAGAAACAAACATACAGAAAGAAAATAAATTTTTGCATGCAAGATCTGGTTTATATAATTTCCAAAATACTTGTTCTCTCAAAAACAAAGTGCATGACAGTTCAACTATGTATTGGAAATTATCTGAATTTCCAAAATAGATATTCCTGATCATGAAATACACCAAATCAAAATACATATTTCAAAACCTAGAATACCCTTTAAATTATCTGAATTTTGTGAGTCTATCTGATGTACACAATTTTGTGAGTCTTATCTGATGTACGCCTTGGCTTGAGAAAAGGCTCTAGGAAGCAAGAGCAACTGTGCTGTTATCTCGAACTTGTTTTTGAGTTCATAGTTCGATTCCTTCTTCGATCCGCAGACGAATCTTCTCAAGCATTTCACATTTGCTAGGAAGAACCCAATCATTTCTATTTCACGCTCAGTTCCTGCAATTTTATCATCTTTACAATTTTGAGGCAACCCAACCAAGACTCAGTACGGTCCAGCATTTTCCAGTAATCTCCAACAACAACTTTGCTGAAATTACTTGGGTAGGTATCGATCTTCAAAATGCGAAAGTAATGAAGTTTAGGCTTGTCAACTAAAACATTAAATGCATTGGGTAATATATGTGATTTTGTTAATTTTAAAAAAATTCAATCTAGTAAAATAATAATAGAGCTATTTGAAAATCAAATTTGTACTGCACTTCAATGCACAAGAACCTCTAAGCAAGGGAAGCTTTTTAGGAGAAAGAAATGTCAAGACAGCCTTTTCTTCCATCAAATCAATGGGTACTTCCAACATCCTCACATTCCTATTACTCACAGGAAGTCTCTATGGTACATTATCCTACATTCCTATTACCTACAGGGAGTCTCTATGGTACATTTTCCTTGAACAGGTACTGACATGAATCAAGGAATTAGAGTGAACAGTCAACATTCACATGAATCAAGGAATTACAGTGAAGGAACACTATCAATAGAGAAGATTGATAAATACAGAGAAATTTGGAAAGAACTCTTACCCACAAGCTCCACTCATACAAGACAAGCCACTCTAATCGAAGCAAACCCTTTAGATACTCGCTTAGCCTGCCACCCCAATTGTCATTTTCGTTTAACATATGAACACTTAACTTATTAATGTTGGAACACTTATTCAAATTAATGTTTCTAAAATCACCATAAATATGTAAAAATACAAGATTTCGAGCAAGAACTTGATATGCGAGAGGCCGCTGCATTCCTCGAGTTTTAGGTGCACCAATTGCGGACTACTGAAATTAGGGACTCGAGTATGCCATCATGGAGAGATACCTTTTCAAGAGAGAGGAACTTTAGAGGCTAAAAACCCTTGAAACAAGACGGTGGTCTCAGCACGAAGCTGTCAAATTGAGAGAGACCAACGAGCTACACGCAAAAAGCAAGCGCTTGGATTTTGTATCACGCCTCATCATCTTCCTCTTTCTCCTCTTCATCTTCCTTGCCCCCTCTTCATCTTCCTCTTTGTCAGGATAGAACTTGATCACGAGTTCTTGCAATGTTGTGATCGTGAGTTCTTGCAATCCTTTTCAACAGAGTGAATATAGCCATCTATCGATATCAACAGATTCAATGCCTTCACGAAGGCAAAACCCAAGAATGGCTCCTATTTGGAGAATAAGGGCCCAATCAATTATAGTGACCCAATCGAGCTCATTCTGTTGAATGGGGTCTGCATCATTCTCAACATTGAAGAAGGGTCTATGTCATTCTCAACATTGAAGAAAAGAGTAGAAGCCCAAAGGTCGCTCCATCGCTTGAATAGAATTGAAGTTCTTCTTGTTTCTCGTATAGGCAAGAGGGAGAGAATGTGACGGAGAATTTCGTGAGAGAGAGCTCTGCCTATCAACTTTAGACCCATGGTCTTGAAGAACTGCAAAGAAATAATTGAGTACAAGGAAAAGTATCCACACTGTGAGAAACAATCTTTCTTTGTATTCAATGAATCAATCAAATATTACAATATAATCGTGGATTTATGGAGAAGGTACAACCAATACTTGCTACAACTGTAGGATACAATTTCTATATAGGTATAGCATACAATTAGACACTAACAAATCTCAATATCCAATTGCCATATTTGTTGTAGTTGCCATGTTTGTTCACACTCCCCCCAAACTCGAGATGATTTGAAAGGAATCATGGAGAGTTTGGAAACATACTGTGAAAAAAAATGCGAGGGGTGAGACTTAGTGAAGAAATCGTCAAGTTGTGCTGCGGTGGGCACATATGGTAAGGAAATTGTGCCTGCGAGATATTATTGTCGAACATAGTGGCAATCGACTTCAATATATTTCGTGCACTCATAGAATTCCAAATTTTTAGAAATATAAATGGCACTCTTGTTGTCACAATAAAGTGGAGTAGGAATTGAGATAGTGACACCCATGTCTTAGAGCAGCCAACGTAGCCAAACAATCTTGGTGGTGGTTTGTGCCATAGTCCAGTATTCAGCTTCTGTAGTTGAATGACCAATTCGTTTCTATTTCTTGCTTTTCCAAGAGATAAGAGAATCATCGAGAAAAATACAAAATCTTGTGGTAGATTTGTGATCACTCGGATTTCCTGCAAAGTCAGAATTTGTATAGGCCCGGAGTGCAAGTGAGGTAGAAGAGGAGAAGAATAAGGCTTAGTGACGGGTATCCCTGATATAACGAATGATGCGCAAAACGACAGCGAGATGTACACTCAAAAACTGACTTTATAAGCAATATCGGAGCGTAAAATTGTCAGATATATCAGTTTCCCAACCAACTGCCTATAAAAGGTTGGGTCAGGAAGAGCTTCTCCATCTGTAGCCCAAAATTTGGCATTAACCTCAAAAGAGGTATCAACTTTCTTTGTATCATTCTAGAGTCGAGCTTGAGAAACAATCTCTGAAGCATATTTTATCTATGATAACAAATAGCCACGAGGAAAATAGGCAACTTCTAGTCCAAGGAAATACCGCAAGAAACCCAAATCTTTCATTTCAAATGTGCTACTGAGCTTCTGTTTGATTTTATGAATTGTGCCCATATCAATACCAGAGACAATCATGTCGTCCATGTATAGTAACAAGAGAACTCATCCTTCAGAAGTTTCAGACACACAGCGCTAGGTCATGATGACTTTGTCGAAATCCATCCGAAAGAACTTACATTACAAAATTTCTCAAACCAAGCACGAGGTGCTTGTTTGAGTCTATAGAAGGTCTGTCGAAGTTTACACACGCGTTTTTTAGAATCCACAACGCTAAGAGGTAACTTCATATATACTTCTGTATCAAGATCACCATTGAGAAAATTATTTTTGACATCTAATTGATAGAGAAGTCATTGTTGAACAGAAGCTACTGAGATTAGTGTACGAACTGTAGTCATATGAGCGATAGGCGCAAAAGTTTCTGCAAAGTCGATGCCATACTGTTGATTGTAACACTTTGCCACCAAGTGGGCTTTCTATCGTTCTAGACTGCCATCTGCGTTAACAACAGTTTTTTCCTTTCGGGAGAGGTGTCAGGTCCCAAGCATGCATACGCACGAGAGCATTCAACTCACCAATTATTCCTTGTTGCCACTCAGGTTGACTTGCAGCCTTTTTGTAAGTCTGAGGTTCAAAAAAAGAATGAACAGAGGCAAGGAATGCTTAGTGCTAAGGTAAGAAGGTTTTAAAATCAGCAAGTCGGGGAGGTGGAATAGATACCCGGCTGCTCCGTCTAAGAGCAGGAGAGGTAGAGGATCAGCAAGTGCAGGGTTCTGATCAGGATTGTCAGCATGAGGTGGTGGAGTTCCTTCCTGGACTTCAGAAGGAGGGACACGGGTGGAATGACCAGAGGAATTAGGAACAGAATCAGAGAAAGAAAGGTGAGAGGGTGAGGGATTATTTTTATTGTCAAAGAATGGAATGTGCTCAGAAAACACCACATGTCGGGATACTCGATGCGTTTTAGTCACAAGGTCATAACACCTATATCCTTTTTTATGATCATGGAATCCGATGAAGCAACATTTGATCGTCTTCGGAGATAACTTATCTCTCTCAGTTGGGGGTAACAATACAAAACAAGTGCAGCCAATACATATAGAAGGGAATAATCAAGTGATCCTGTAAACAATTTTTGGAAAGGTGTTTCGCCAGATAAAATGGGGGATGGTATGATGTTGATGAGAAAGATTGATGTAAGAACAACTTCTGCCCAAAATTCTTTTGGGACAGATGTGGAAAAAAGAAGAGATCTTGTGGTTTCCAAGATATGACGATTTTTACGTTCGGCAACACCATTTTGTTCTGGTGCATAAGGACAGATTTTGTGGTATTGAATGTTATGATTAACCAAAAATTGTTGGAGCAACCCACTGATATATTCCACTCCAGAATCTGAGCGTAGGGCTTTGATTTTAGTGGAAAATTGGGTTTCTACATACGAATAAAACTGAGTAAAGATTTTAAAAAATTAAGTATGATTATTCATAAAGAAAACCCATGTATAACAAGTATGATCATCAAAAAAGGTTACTAAATAGCATGACCCTGCATTAGATGGAATATGTGCAAGACCCCACACATCAGTATGAACAAGATCGAGCATAAAAGGTGAAATAGAAGTACTTCGAGAAAAAGGTAAAGCATGAGATTTAGCGAAATTGCAAGTTGCACAATGTTGGACATCAGTAAAAATTTTATTTCTAATAGTACCAAGAACATTGTGGGAAAATAAAGCTGTAAACAAGAAACAAAAATGTGACCAAAACGTTGATGCCATAAAGATGTGTCATCAACAGTAGAAACAACATAGACATAAGAGGCTAGCATATGCAGTAGTCTAGGTAGTACAAATTTCCAACTTTACGCCCAGTTCCAATCAATTGCCCTGACTGCCTATCCTGTATGCAACAAGAAGATGAAGAAAAAACAACATTACAGTGTGAACGGGTAATCTGACCAATAGACAATAAATTCCTGGCAAGGGAAAGAACATGATAAACATTAGAAACCCTTAATTTACTAGAAGGGTCAGAGGTAAGAGATATGGAGCCCATGTTTTACACTTTCATAGTAGCTCCATCAGCAGTATAGATAGTATCAGAAAAAAACTTACAATCAACTAGGATTGACTCATTGGAGGTCATATAATGAGAAGCTCCTGAGTCAATCAGCCAAGAGGTAGAAACAGAGTACCTGAAAAAGAGGGAGTGGGTTCAGAGGCCAAGTGTGACTAAGTAAGCATAGACTGCACTTGTTCTAGTGTAAATGTAATAGTTGGTGAAGCAGGAGTAGGACTGTTACATCCAATTGAGTTGGTGAATACTTGATTAATGGTCGACTTATATCAGCAACAACAGCGAACATGGGTTTCGTCTTGTTTGGGCAGGTGCACTTGAAGTGTCCCAGTTCTTTACAATAGTTACATCTGACAGATGCCATGTTCTTGGGAGGGACATAGTACGAATTGCGTTGATTCTGTTTAAGCACATTAGATCTCTGAGGTTGAGTCGTAGCAAAAACTGTCTCCTTTAAACTTTGAGTTAAGAGATTTGATCTTGATTTCTTCTGCAATTAGCTCAGAAAGAGCTTGATTCAGAGTAGAGAGAGAGCTTTTGTGGACCAGGTCATTTCTGACACTCAAAATCTGGATGGAGTGCCAGTAAAAATTCAATAACTTGAAAATTCTCTCGAGATTTGGCAATTATTTCTGCGTTAGGACCATCTTCAATCGTAGATTCCATAAGTGCTAGAGCTTCCCAATGTGTCTTCATGGAAGAGTAAAAATCTTGGATTGACTGTTCTCCCTGTCTGAGGGAGCTAAGTTACTATACTAACTGGTACTTTTGTACCTAGCTAATTTGATTATAAATTTCCTCAAGAAATTTCCATGCTTCTCGAGCAATTTTGAAAGTGCTTAGATTGATCTCTATATTACTTTCAGATGAGCTCATCAACCATGCTATAATTTGAGCATTATTTATGCCCCAATCTTCTATTTTTCCTGACTCATCAAGTTTCTTCTAGGTCCCATCTATGTATTCGAGAAGGCCTTTTCCATGAATGATATTCCACATAAATGAAGCCCAAAAAGTGTAGTTGGTGTCATTGACTTTAATGGGTACAAGCTGGAAAGACTCGTATTTCTCCATACGATTCTGTATTTTTGGAGAAACTGTGGATAGAGCAAAGCTTAATGCCCTATTATCTAGTAGACAAAAGTTTTTTTACACAGAGAAAGTAAGAGAAAGAGGGATCAACAACCCCTATGCAAGATCAACTAAATACTATGGATCCCTAAGGATGCACAATGGGCCACCTTTTAAAGGTAAATAAAAAGTTAAAGCAAACAAATGCCAACGAAGGCAACAATAGAAGAGAGAGAAATAGATAAGAACGAGAGAGAGAGAGAAATAGGGAAGAACGAGAGACAGAGAAAGAGAGAAACCCAACAAAAAAAAAAAACATAACAGAGGAGGGGCAAGGCCGAAAAAAAGAATGGGTTTTCCCTAGTGATTTCAAGGGTTTTTCCAGCAGGGCAAGGTTGTTTTCCGATGAGATCAGGTGTGTTCCAATGAGAGTGGGATATAGAAAATTAAAAAGATATTAGAGAGATAGAGATAGATCAGATATCAGAGAGAGAGAAAATAGGGAGATAAAAGATCGCGGTTTTTTTTTTTTTAACAAGCGGATTTATACTAAAAAGAGATAAAAGAAAGAGATAGAGATCTGAGAGAAAATAGAAAGAAATAAGAGAGATCTGAGATATGGGAGATTTAGAAAAAGAGACCGAGAGTAGAGATATGAGATCTGAGAGATATGGGAGATTTAGAGAAAGGGATATGGGAGATTTAGAAAGAGATCGAGAGTGGAGATCTCAAATCTAAGAGAGTTTAAACAGATCGC